ACCAACCCCGAGGGGGGTTGTCCAGCCAACATTAGCTTGCATCCTGTCCATCTTAGAGTGACCGCGAGGCTGCCCTGGTGAGGGGGATTCCCAGGCCGCGTGCCAGAGCTTTACTTTCAAGCGGATGGCATGCTGGAGAGAGGGAGCCGAGAGCATCTTGCTCCCCTCGCTGAAAGCTCCATCATTCCTGTTCTTCCAGATGGTCCAAAGAGCAATGCTGAACCTGGTGGCCCATGGGATATCGCTGGCGTCCTTCTCCTGGTTGGAGAGGTTGGTGTCGAGCCACTCATCCAGATCTGCAGTAAGGAACTCCGGAATGTTACCTGGCGCCACCTCTCTCGTCCAAAAGAAGAGAGAAGGTGGACAGTCTCTCAGGAGATGAAGCTCGGTCTCAAGAATTGAGGCGCACTTGCTGCAACAAGGGTTGGAGGTAAGATGGCGGGTGAATCTCCGTTGATTGGTGTTGATCCGGTGAAGACGGAGAAGCCAAATGAAGTGTCTCACTCGCTCCGGGACTTGTAGTTTCCAGATCGTCTTCCAAATCTTCGAGTCATTGTTCGGTGGAGGTGGAAAGGCAATGTTGTAGGCCGATTTAGCCGTGAACCGGCCATTGGAAGTCGGTTGCCAACACAGCCTATCATCCTCCTGAGAGAGGGGGTCCACCGCGGTGCCCGTGATCCTGCCCACCACTTCGACGGGAAGGAGATGTTGAAAGATATCAGCACGCCACCGTCCATGCTCGTCGATGAAATCCGCCACCGGCTTCTGGACCTCTTCCTCTGTGATAGCAGTGTTGGTCAACTCCTTGAGAGGAACCTGCAAAATCCAACGGTCAGTCCAGAACTTGGTGTTCTTGCCATTAGCTATATTCCAAGCGCATCCTTTCCTTAAGATTGGAGTGGCTTTGGAAATGCTCTTCCAAGTAAAGGAACTTCCCTGTTTTCCATCGAGGATGTCGAGTCCTTCTTTGTTGCGCCCCGTATTTCCCCCGAACCACTTGGGTCCAAAGGGTATCTTTCTCTTGAAGCACTCTCCAGCCGTTCTTAGCCAGCAGGGCTGCGTTTGTGTGTCGAAGGGATCGCAGCCCAGCGCCTCCATTAGCTTTGGGTTCCAGAAGTTTCCTCCACCCGACTAGATGGGAGTGCTTCCTGTTCTCCGTATCACCCCAGATAAAGGCTCTGTTGATGCTGTCTATCTCCTTGCAAACCGAGGCCGGGAGCATCTCTGTCTGCATAGTGTAAACAGGAATAGAAGTATATACAGAGTGGGCAACAGTTAAACGAGCAGCAAGGGAGAATTTCTTAGCTTTCCAAGTGGAGAGCTTCCTCTGCACTTTTAGGATGAGCTCTCGGTACTGATCTTTAGTCACCCTGGAGTTGATGGCCATCACTCCCAAGTATCTTCCAAGGTCAGTCGTAAGCGGGATCCCTGCTCTGTTACTATAGTCTGCTGCAGTATCCCTGGGCACATTGGTAGAGACGAACAGAAGAGACTTCTGCAGATTGACTTTCTGCCCCGAGCTGCTGCAAAACTCCTCCATGCATTGCTTCATTGCATTGATCTGACCTACTCCAGCCTCCGCGAAAAGCATGAGATCATCTGCAAAAAAGAGATGTGAGAGCTTTGGGTCGCCAGGAGAGAGGGTCAGGGGTTTTCATCTCTTCTCTTCAATGGCCTGGTCAATCCTGTGGGAAAGGCGCTCCATGCATAAAACGAGGTAGGGAGAGAGAGGGTCTCCCTGTCGAACGCCTCTGTTAGGGATAATGGTCCCAAAGAGCTCTCCATTCCAGGATATTCGCATCTTGTTCCGCTCCACACAGTACATGATGCAGTTAATCCAGGAGCTGGGCAACCCGACTTCCATGAGAGTATCACGGAGAAAGTCCCACTGAAGTCTATCGTAGGCCTTCTCAAGGTCAATTTTGATGACAATGCCTCCTTTTCTGCCTTTTCGTTTCCGAAGAGAATGGAGAATCTCCTGAACCACAATAGTGTTATCTGTTGTTTGCCGCCCCGGGATAAAATTGCTCTGTCTAGGAGAGATCCACTTCCGCATATTGGGCTTGAGTCGGTTAGTGATTGCTTTTGTAATCGCCTTCAAGCTCACATTATTGAGAGAAATAGGCCGAAGTTGAGTCACCAGCTCTGGGTGATCCACCTTGGGGATCAGAAAAAGAGTTGACTCCGTGACTGACTCTGCAAGATGCCCTGTATCAAAAAATTCCAAGGCCATGTTAATTAAAGCTTTCCCAACCACAGACCAATTAATCTGATAGAATAGAGCTTGAAATCCGTCCGGTCCGGGGGGCTTGCAAGGGGTTCATATCAGTAATATCCTTGTACACGTCTGCTGCTGTGAAACGCCTCAGTAGACCAAGGAGCTCTTGCGGCGACAAGCGAGGGAACCTGTTCTTCGGGAGAAGGTCGGTGTACACCTGGGAGTCCTGCGAAAAAAGATTTTCAAAATGATCGAAAACGAGTCTCGCCAAAGCTTGAGGTTCCTGGATCCACTCCCCATTAGAGACTTTGAGGCTCAAAATCTTATTCCTCCTCCGTCTAATACTGGCTTGCTGGTGAAAATAACCCGTGTTCCGATCCCCAAAGTTGACCCAATTCTCTCTCGATCTCTGGAACCAAATGAGCTCTTCTTGCTCCATGACCCTGTCGAGGTCGGTCTCCAACTTGCTGAGAAGCTTGGCGAGGCCAGGGTCGAAGTTTAACGCCAGCCGTGTCTGGATACCCTTGATCATGTTTATGAGTCTGCGCTTCTGGAAGAAGAGGTTTCCTTCGCTAACTCCTGCAGAGCCACGTGCAAAGGGCAGTCGCTCGCCCAATTACCTGCCAAAAGAGTGTTAAAATTAGCATGGGCTAGCCAAGCCGCTTCAAAACGGAAAGAACAAGGGAGGGAGCGGGTCGAGGTTGATCCCCCGGTGGAGGTCAGGATAGGGGAATGGTCTGATTGTAGCCGCGGGAGGTGAAGAACTGAGGAATTGGGGAAGGTCTCGTTCCACGTCATGTTGCACAAGCTCCGGTCAATCGTGCTCGCCTTATAGTTATTCCTGGAATCTCCTCTAGACCAAGTAAAGCGAGGGCCTAAAAAACCTAGATCAACAAGGTCAGCCCGATCGATAAAGTCATTGAAAATCCGACACTGCCGGGCATTATCTGCCGTGGCCAGACCAGATTTCTCATTCAGCGATCTGAAAGCATTAAAATCACCAGTAATTAACCAAGGAAGCGAGGAAGTAGAACTGAAATTAATCAAAGTGTTCCAGAGGGCAGGCTGCAAGTGGTACTGGGGAGACGCATAGACCGCTGTCAGATGGAAAGCTGTGGAAGAAATAGGCGTGATCCTGGCCGAAAGGTGCTGAGAGCAGGCGGAGATGATCTCGACGCCGAAAGACTTCTTGTCCAGGCACAGCCAAATTCCCCCGCTACGGCCGACGGCGTCAACCCGATAAATGTTAGGGAATCCCAGTTTGCCACATACAACATCAGCATTGGCCTCGCTGATTTGAGGTTCAAGGAGGATAAGGATGTCGGGCCTATGTTGCTGAATTAGAAGCTTGAAAGCTCTGATGAAAGCTCTGCTACCTACACCTCCAACATTCCACGACAAGATATTCAAATTAGGTGTATCAACCATGGGAAAATATAAACAAGCAAAGAAAAAGAACAGAGCAGGTCAGAGGCTAGCGGGGGGCGGTCGGCTGCAACTAGGCCCCCTTGAATCGTCATTTCGTTGCTCGGGTTCTCTACTGTGGTCTTCGGCGAGAGAATTGGCTCTTTCGTCGAGACCACCGACTTCTCGTTCGCCATCCTACTCCAAGCTTCAATCTCCTGAAGGGTTATCGCTACCAATTTCTCGCGCGATTTATTCTTCTTTTCTTTCTTCGGGACCATATTTGGAGGGCTTTGTTGGATTGTGTCATCAAAACTCCCTTCTTCCTTGATTGATTGTTCTTCTTGCTTTGACTCTTGATCCGCAGGCTTGAAAGAGGAATGTCAACGTTCGCTTGGCAATGTGAGGGGGGTTCAGAGCATGGGACATCAAAGACGAAAATGGCCTCCCCTTTTGGCCCTAACACAGTACGAGCACTAATTCCCTCCAAGCCCAGCCCATCCGTGTTCGTCAGGCCCGAGCTCTTTGCTACGTTGGACGATATAGTGACCGCTGGGCCTTCTTTTTTCTGGGTTGTGGGTTGCGAGGATGGGCCAGGGCCCAACAGGCCTTTCTCTTTCAGCTGCTGACCTAAGGCGATCGGCTGCTGCTTTCCAGGGATTGATAGAGCTTTCGATGGTCTGCTCGTAGGGATCTTCTCCTCATTGTTTCCTTTCTTAGCACCTTCCCCATTATTTGTTCCTGCCGAGACAATTCCACTTTGTTTTCCTTTATTTGGTCGGTCCCCATTCTTGGAGGAGGTCTCGCCAAGTTGCTGACTGTTGGTCTTTCCTTTTCCTGCGATCGCTTTTACCAAATCTGTCGCCGAGCTGGTAAGCCCGTTTTCCTTTTGTGATTGATTCTTCTTTCCGGTTTTGGAACCCTGGGTGGACGCCTGATTTGCCGCCTGTGCAGGTGTTTATTTCCTTTCCGGTTTCCGACTCTTTCGCGTGACCTGCATCCAGGGACCAAATCTGGGTGGTGCCTCTGTCTCCAACGGTGGCTCCGGTGGAGAGGGAGGTAGCAAATCAGCGCAGGGTGCCACCGGGACGACAGATCAATTGAGCGTGGGGCAAGAGGTTTCCGAGTTCCCCATGATACCACACTGAAAACACGCATTGGGGAGATTCTCATGGACAACCTTTTGCCAGCAACCATCTAGACGAATCCGAGGCCGAAGGGGCTTCGACATGTCCAATTCAATTGCTATTCGCGCAAACTTGCCTCTTTGCCCGTGTTCGGTATGGTAGTCTAGTTTAATCATGCGCTCGATCAGATTCCCAAGGGCGAATAGCACCTCTCTATGGCAGAAATGAACCGGAAGCCCAGGGAATCGCACCTAGGCCGTTACCTTCCTTGGAATGGCATCACTGATCCGAAATGATGGAGACCATTGATAGACAATTAGGTAGTGATCGAGGATGATCCATGGCCCCCCGGTGAGCGCTTTCAGATAGTCTTGATCATTATCAAATGTTGTCAGAAAAGCGTCCTCGTCCAGATCCATGATATCGAGTTTCCCGACAGGTCTCCACATCCATCTCAGTTGCGAGCAGAGGTAGGAAAAGGAGACTTTTTGACCGAGTAGACGAACAACGAGCGTTTTCTTCCAAGGTGCGCAGAGCCGTGATTTGAGGGTATCCGAAACTATTAGCTCCGGCTCCCCGTTGAAGGAACTTAGAACCAGGTCGCTTTCCCCGACAAACGTCCAGGGAACGATCGGCTGTGTTGGCGCCGAGGTCTCCCCTGCCAAGGCTGCTTTGTATGATGTCACTAGTTGTGCTGACGGTTGAGCTGTCAGGTCTTTTCCTTCGGAGCTGATCGAGGCCTCCAGATTGGCTGCCGATTGAGTCACGGGCTCACGATTTGCCGATGTCTCCTGGGTCCGGGCGCTGCCGTCTTGCTGTGGAAGAGAGGCTTCCGACATGTCCACCTCCGGTGGACGATCTGTTGGTGGCAATAAGGGCGCCGGAGTAGGAAGCGCGATGAAGTCAGTCGAGAGCATTTTCTCAAAGTAAAGCCTTATACGCAGTTGTAGATGATACTTACAAATATGATATTTTCAATTATGCCAATAATAGAGACTATATATGATAAGTACTATGATTAATTAAGCATATATATCATAATTAAAATTGTTATATAACATAATCTTTAGCATAAGTTATGTTAGTATGATTAATTAAGCACAAAGCCTAATTTCTCACCGCCTTAATCTATATTTACACTAATGGTTGGGGATTTTTCCAGAAATAGCACTGTATAAAAAAAATTCCAAAAATAGCACCTTAGTCCGAAAAATTCCAAAAATAGCACCCTTTCCCAAAAACCGCTCCCTACCAGTGCGGTTTAGGCAAAAACCGCCACCCAGGGGCGCGTTTTTCGATGAAACCCGCACCCCTAGGGGGCGGTTTTGCAGACCGCACCCCCACCATGCGGTTTGGTTGCAGATCGCACCCCCACCATGCGGTCTGCTTTTTTTTTTTTTTAAATCCTAACCTAGGTGGAAACTTCAAACGAACATATCTTGGTGTTCGGGTATCAAATCGTCGCGATTTTTTTTTATTCTGCATAACTTTTTGAGATCTTGCAAGCCGAAGACTGCCGAAGGTGGTTTGATCTCGCCTTCGTCCCAAAAAATTTCGTTTGCTACCCCGCACGAGCTTATTTCCGATTTTGTCAAACTTTGGACAACCATAACTTTGTGCTCCAAAATCCAAACGACATGAATTTTTTTTATTTCGCATAAATTTTTAAGGAATACAACTTTTATCATAGACATAATTTCAAAATGTACGTGGATTGCTGAGAAGGGAAGTTAAGCTATTCCCAAAATCCTGTATATCCAAAATAATTCCTGTTTTGAAAATTCATTCTAGTAAAAATTGTAGTCCTTAAAAAGTTATGCGAAATAAAAAAAAAATTCATGTCGTTTGGATTTTGGAGCACAAAGTGTTGGTTGTCCAAAGTTTGACGAAATCGGAAAAAAGCTCGTTCGGGGTAGCAAACGACATTTTTTGGGACGAAGGCGGGACCAAACCACATTCGGCATTCTTCGGCTTGCAAGATCTCAAAAAGTTATGCGGAATCCAAAAAAAATTCGCGACGATCGGATTCCCGAACACAAAGATACGTCCGTTTGAAGTTTCCACCTAGGTTAGGATTTTTCAAAAAAAAAAAAAGCAGACCGCATGGTGGAGGTGCGATTTTCATCGAAAAACGCGTCCCTGGGTGGCGGTTTTCATCGAAAAACGCGTCCCTGGGTGGCGGTTTTCGCCTAAACCGCACTGGTAGGGAGCGGTTTTGCAGAAAGGGTGCTATTTTTGTAATTTTTTGGAGTTGGGTGCTATTTTTGAAAAAAAAAAATTAAACAGTGCTACTTTTGAAAAAATCCCTAATGATTGTGCCGTTATTGAGGAGGTGAAAGGGATGATAATATGAGAGACTGGAAAATTCAAACAGCGGTTGCAAAAACTTTTGAACGAGGAAGCATAGAGGGCAGGGATCCTGACGTGTCCATCTCTTGAATGGTCATTTAGTGACTTTTCAACAAATTTCTAATTAAGTTTTCCACGCATGTCTTCCTGATTAGCTAGTACTAATAGTAATTACTAAACAGTACAAAAGTTTTGATCGATTGATTTGTGATATAAGGAAACAAGTTATATACAAAGACAATAATCCATTGATAGAAAGTAATACAAAAGTTCAACGCAGAAGATACAAAGAGATTATTATCCTACTTCTTCTATCTCGCATATTATTGTTCGAGTGCGAACAATGAAAGTAGAAGATATATGATCTAAAGATGATGCAACCACCAGCCTCGGTTGCTCTTGAATTGTGGCTGAGCACTCTGGATCAGCTAGTGCTGAAGGCACAGTCGATCTACGAGCAAAGCCGGCTGATAGAAACGAATAAATTTATTCATAATGAAAGGGGGAAAATTACGCGAGATTAGCTGATATATATCACAGCAAATAAATTTACAAAATGAACCATGAGACATAGATATCCTTCTGTAGCACAAGAAGTTCACAACTAAGGGCGAAGAATGAGAAGACCACAATTGCATAGTTGATGAATTGCTCTCGACGCCGCCCCTCAAAATTAATGGAGAGGACAATGAGGAAGAGAGAGAGGGAAAACAAACCCAAAGAGAGGAGAACTAGCTTTCTCTGTTTTTGTATGTCTTCGATACAATTGTAGGCGATACATGCGAATGTGATATTCATGAGCACGCCTATAGTAGAGATCCAGTAAGTATCACGTTCTTTGAAAAGATGAATGGAATATTGTACCTAAAACGGGTTGGAACTTAAATATGTATGAAAAATTCAAATAGCTAATATTTTTTAAATAACGGTTAGTGAATTCAAATTATTATTCCCATATATAAACTAAACACGTTGCACCTATTCCCTAAGGGCTTTGCTAACCGACACTAGTATCATTTGTTTTGCTTGACATCCCATTACAACCCACATTGAACTAGAAATAAAATTGAACAAGCCAAGGCTGCCGATAAGTACCAAACAAAGGAGGCAAGCAGCAAGGAGAAGATGGACAGAGATTTTCATTAAAGCCGAATCAGATTGGCCAACCGGACGAGTGAAACTGTCAACCAATTACAATAGTCAATCTATTCTTGCGTTTGATCTATTGGCTTTTTTTTACAAGAGATATTTCATTCATAGAAAAAGATTACAAGTTACATCCTGGACCCAATCCAGGTATAGAAATCATACAATCGATACGAGGTCGGAGACAAAAACAGGGTCTTCCTAGCCACCGTATGGGCTACCCTATTGCTATTCCAACCAACAAACCGAACCCGGAAACCACCATTAACCTCCAACAGACTTAGAATCTCAGAAATGATGACCCCTACACGCCCAACGCGAAATATCAAAAATTCGCCAATCACAGCTACAAGCATAATGGTTCTTTGCTCGGCCTCGTTGTAAGATGGATCAGTATGCACTCGCATGGTTTGGGCCATAAGCTGAACTGATAATAGTTTGGACTTCAAACTCCCTTATAGATAGGGATGGCAATGGGGCGGGTTTGGGGCGGGTTTGCTTAAACCATCCCCATACCCATCTTCAAATACCCAAACCCATACCCGCCCCATACCCATGCGGGGAATGTCTTGAAAACCCATCCCCATACCCGTGGGTTTCGGGTACCCATGGGTAATACCCATACCCGTACATCCAACATATGTATTAGAGTTAAAACTTACAGGAAAAGTTCTAATTATAACTCTAAACGAACATATTATATCATGAAGTCAACAAAACACGGTCATTTTTTTAATATGGTTCAAAGATTATGATCCTAAAATATCCATTAATACATAATATAGAGTATAATATTTTTCAAATTATTATGTTCTAACTCTAATACATCTACTAAATAATAATTAACTAACATAATCTTGTTGACAAGGGGAAAAGTGAAAGAGTGAAATGAGAATTGAGAGAAATGAATTAGATTTTGATTAAGGTGGTCACTCAATTGCATTTCTACTATTTATTTTCTCAATTTATCCTCATCATCATTGATAGATTATAATTTGATGCACATATTTTTTTTATATATGAAGAAATTATTTTAGTGGGGCGGGTATGGGGATGGGTATGGGGCGGGGGAGGCTAAAACCATACTCGCCCCATACCCATCAAACTTTTTGCGGGTTTTACCCATACCCGCCCCATACCCGGTCAAAGCGGGGATTCCCCGCGTTGACTGGGTCGGGGGCGGTCGGATACCCGCGGCCATGGGTTTGATTGCCATCCCTACTTATAGACCGGGCAAGGAAGTAAAATCCTCGAGTGGCTTAAATTTCAAATAGAAAGGGGAAGATAAATTTAAATCTAATCTAATCTAATCTAATCTAATCTAAACAACTACTATAAGGCATAGACCAGGAAACCGGATCGTACCGGCCGGTTCAACCGGTTCAACCGGAAATTGGACCAAAAGCGGTACGGTGGGCTGATTGTGCTGATTTTACCGTGCCGGCCGGTTTTTTCGGTTTGACCGGTTGAACCGGTTGAATCGGCCAGTATGATCCGGTTTCCTGGTCTATGATTCAGCTTCATTTCTCCGTATTCTCGTCCAATATGTGGAAAATAATTAAAAAAGAATATTATTTTGCTATTTTTCTATGTTGAAAATGGGTCACCGTGGTTGTATAATGCTCTGTTTGGTTCTTTTTTTGATGGATTATATTTTTTATACTATCGCATTTCATTTCTCTATCAATAGTGAAAAACGGTATTTACCGGTACAAAACGGTTAAACCACGGTCGTACCACAAAATACCATACCAGAAAGGAATCCGGTATGATATCCGGTATGGTTTCCTTTTACCATGCTATAAGGAGGTTCTCCTCCAAAACACCCATAATTTCCATTTTTCTGGCTCCTACGCAGACCAAGGAGGGACACTTTGGTCTTTTTGGTTTTAGTTGGCATTGTGTGTATATATGTGGGCATGAATAAGAAAACCCAAAACTTAAGGTAATATGCTTTTGTGGGACTTCTTACTTCGTTGAGCAAACCAAACGCGGCCTTCCACCAAACATATAATTGTTTCAGCTACAAATTATTTGTCAAGAATTATACAGTTTCATGTTAAGATTTGTATATATGAATTTAGGTGAAATGACACGTTAGTTCACACTTTATCTTTTAGTTTCACATTTATCACTACAAAATTTAATTGTATTAGTGGTCATTAACTTCAAATTCTCATTTTATCATTGATCACTAGCCATTCATTTTCATTAAATTTATACATGATAGACAACTCTCATAGTTGAGCGTTAAATGAATGACATAACACTAAAATAATAAAAATAATAATTTATCGCCATGACTCCAACCAACATGTCACACGTATAATGACATTATACAAGTGGTAATGTGCGATAATAAATCAAAAGAATGAAGAAAACAGTTACAAACAATAAATTTTATGACAAATATTATATATGT